TAGCTGAAGTTGTGGTGGGTTGTGCCTGGTTTCCCTCCTGAGGAGCATTTGCTGTCTGCTTTTGAGGCTCCTTTTAGCAAGCAGAGTGGTGGGGGGAGCAGAAAGAACATGATGCTGAGTCCTTCTGTCTTCAGTGATTGCTCTGGGGCTCGTTTTGGTTCCCCTGGGCATCACCTCTGCAGCTCCATGTTGTAGCTGGTCTTGGAGGGCAGCTGGGGTTGTCATAGCTGTGGGGAGAAGTGGGGAGCATGCCAGGCTGCAGGCAGCTGGAGACTGTCCCCTTGCTTCTCCTCCCAGGTGACTGGAGAGCCCCTGATCCGCCGCTCGGACGACAACGAGACGGCCCTGCAGACGCGCCTGAAGGCCTATCACACCCAGACCAGCCCCCTGGTCTCCTACTACAGCAAGCGAGGGATCCACACGGCGGTGGATGCCTCCCAGTCTCCCGACGTGGTGTTTGCCAGCATCCTGGCAGCCTTCTCCAGAGCCACATGTAAAGACCTGGTTATGTTCATTTAGGGCTCCGTCCCAGGATGGAGCTCTCCCTTTCTTCTCTCTGTCTCTATCTCTTGACTCTCTGGGGCCAGGGAGGGTGAAGAAACAAGCAGAGTAGAAGAGGAGGGGACCAGCCGAGGCAGGGCTGTGCTAATTGTTAATTAAACAAGCTGTTAACGGTCTCCCATCTCGGTATATGTGAATGTCAAGGGCTGCGGGTGCCGGAGATTTGTCCCCTAGAGGTCGCAGCGAGCCCGAGCACCCGCTGCCACCAGCGGGGTTTGCACCCCCGGGGGCAAAAGGCTTTTGTTTCAGTCTAGAGCTGCAGCTCCCTGGAAGGAGCTGGACGTTCAGCTGCCCCGCAGGGAATTAGCAGAAGGTTGGATGGAGGTCAGGGCTGAGCAGTGGGTGAGGGACCTTGGCTGGGAAGGTGTCACTCGGTGGGCTGCAGGAAATGGAGCAGGGGCTGGTTGTGGGGAGGCTGTGAGTGTGTCAGTCGTGGGAGGGAGAGCTTGTCTGTGCTGCTGCTTGGGGCTGGTGAGAACTTGTTCTGGTTGCTTGTGCTTCATTCTCTGGAACAGCAGGTTACCTGAGAGCACAGCCTGCCTGTCTTCCTCCTGGTCTGATGAGGCTTGTGGGGGAAAAGCTGGGGAGGTGCCAGCCTCTCCTCATCTGTGGGCCCCAATATTGCAAATACTGGTGAGGTGGTTTTGGGGGTTTTTTTTAACAACATGAAGTCTCTGCTCAGAGTCTGACAGGCACTGTGTGGGGCAAGATGGAATCTCCTGTGGACAAGAAAAGAACTTGGGTTTTCTCTCTACACTCTTGCCTTGGCTTTAGTCAAGGAGGTGAAGATGTGTTGAGTTCCTGAACCCAAAGTCTAAATCAAGCCTTACTGCAAAACAAATGACTTTTCAAGGCCTGAGAAGCAGCCTTAATAACCACATGTGCCCTTGAGCCAACGACCTTCACTATGAGATGATGGAAATGGCCTTGTTTCTTGAGCCAATCAAACAGTTCTGTCAGGCTGAGGACACCACGACTGGTGTGCTTAGTGCCCCAGCTTCTCAGGGCCATTGTGCTGCTATATGGTGACCCTGCAAGGCTGGTGACAACCTTTGCCCATGTGGGATTCCAGCCCTTCCTGGAGGACCCCGCTGTAAATGCAGATTGGCCCAGATAAAACTTTGTCCTTTGGCCTCTTCCCTGTATGTTTACTGATTTAGTGTCACCAAGTACTGTCAAGGAGATGGCCTGGCTCCCTCCTGTGCCCTGAGCTGCTGTGTCTCCACAGCAGGTACCTAATTCTCAGAAATCTCTTGCTCTTCTTGCTACTTTCTCTTCTGTCTGAAAACAGCTCTGTCCTCCTATGTCCTTTGCAGGGAAACAACCTCTTCCCTTCCAGCAAACTGGAAATAGCACCAGAAACTGAAAGCAGTTGACTTGTTGCTCTTTGAAAGGATGTGACTGTGGGGAGAGAGCATTGGAAAGGAAATGGTGCTGGTTCCCTCAGCAGCTCCTGGTCCCCTGGGATCCCCTAGATGGCCAGTGTCTTCTCTGTCTTTGTCTGTCCTCCCTGGCTTCCCTGTGACAGGGCAGCCCCGGCGCGTGGCTCCGGCGCGCTGGGAGGTCGGGACCAGAGGAGAGGACAGTGTGTTGGAACTGCCTCTGCATCCTGAATGACTGTAGAGGAATTCTGATTGGAAGCAGCTTTTATCTTGGCATCTTGAGAGAGTCCAAGAGCTGAGCTGCAGCCCCCACGTGCTGCTGTGATGGCAGGAGGGGCTCCTGGCCCTTTGGTGTTCCTGGACTTGCTCAAGGTTTTACTCCACAGCAAGAACAATGTGTTTTTTCCACTCTCCATTCTTTTTTTCCCCCCCTCCTTTGTGCTCACTTTGCATCCAGCTCACCAGCCTTTTCCTGCCATAAACCATGCTTCGTTTTGTTTCTTTTTTTTTTTATCCCTAAATCTATTTTTTTTTCTTTGTTCCCATTTATTCCAGCTGAGTGACTCCGTGAACCAGATGAGAGACCATCAAATGCTGCACACTCTGCTCCATCACCCATTGCAGCCCTCCCCTGGGTGCAGGGGAGGCAGGGAGGGCAGCTGGGAGGGGGTTACCATTGATGGGAGGGGGATAAGGAGGTGGTAGACAAGGGGCTTGGGGGGCTGATTGGGGTGGTTTTTGTTTGGATTTCTTAACTTAGCAGAATCATTGTGGAGAGGAGATGGAATTCTCCTTAGAAATTTACAAGTTGGGGAGGCAGAACAAAGGTACAGAGTGAAACTTCTCTGCCAGTGATCAAACATGGGTCCTTGACCTGTTAAGAGGGCAAGGCTACATGACATTCCAGGATTTTCAGGGCTTGTCTCAGGGGTTCTTGGTACTCTGAGACCACTGCAAGGTGTGCTGTGATTTTAATTATGTTTCCTAAAGTTGCTTCCTGTCAGTGAGGACCAAAAGCAAACAAATGCCTCATTTCTGAAATTGAAAGAGAGGGGGGAAAAAAAAAGATGCCCTTGGTCTTTTCCTGGAAGATTTGCTTGTCTTGTTCTGCTGCATTCCTAAACCCTGGCATGGAGACTTCTCAAGGTTTCTCTGCTGCTGAACAGAGGGGCTGTGGCTCTAGTCCAAGCCTGCCTTACTTGGCCATGGGGTGGCTTTCCTGGGATCTTGACCAAGCTGGAATTCTTGCAATGCTGAAGAAATGCAAAAGAGACTTCCTTAATTGACTGCAAAAAAACCCCAAAAAATAACACTTTAATTGGGGGGTGTTTTTTTGCATTTCTTTTTTTAGATCAAATGGTGCCTTGTCTAACCTCTGAATCAATAATAAAATAACCCCTTTACATTTTGGATCTGTTGCTGTGTGCTCTTTGACCTGCAGACTGGAGGACAGGAGGAAGCAGATGACAGCACAGCCAACTAACAACTGAGCTGGGTGGATCCTGGGGCCTGATCCTATCTCAAGGATGATGTTCTAGGCTTTGAAATTCCTTTTATCTCCTTTTTTTTCAATATTTTTCTTCTTTTCTGTGTGTGTTCCAGTGCTTTGTATCACCATAGCAATGGTGTCTTTTCCTGCTTTTCTCTTGCCTGTTTCTTCATGTGTGATGCTGAAAGCACCAAGCCCCTGTGTATCCTCACCCTTCCTGGTCAAAGCTCCTTCCAGGGGTTTTTAACAGATGTCATTCCTAGCTTTCCCCCCCTTTGCATCATCAGTGTGGGGAGAAGTTGATGTTATTTCCTCCTCTCCTTGGAAGCCACACCCTGTGTGTCTTCTGCCTTTCCTACCTGGTTTCATCCCTCCTTTTTCCCTCCACCATCTAAACACAAATCTGCCAACCAGGAGCATTTCCTGCCCCCCCTCTGTCCTGCTCCACAGGGGCCCTGGCTCTCTGAGCCATCTCACAGGAAGGTTGTGCTCTTGATGTGATGATGGAGGGTCCTTGTTTTCCCCCCCAAGGCCCTTGGGCTCCCCCTTTGCAGCCCTGCTGATGTTTGGGGCTCTGCTTTAGGCACAGAAAGGCTCAGGCTGCACACACCCATTTCCTCTAGAAATGACTTGTTTCTTTAGCATAATTGGGCTCTCTTGCTCCTCACCATTCAGTCTCTGCTGCTTTTATTACCTCCATGTCCAATTACATTCCCTCCCTTGTTTTTTGAAGGCAAGCTTGTGCCCCTCTGGTGTTTGTGGTGTCCTTCCCTTGTAGCTTTTGATGATGGCTGTTGAATTATGCTCTTCCTCTGGTGTTTGGGATTGTATCCTCTACTACTTGCCTGCTGTTGTTTTAAAAACCTGTTCTTCCTGCTCCTCCTGGTTTTCTAGTACATGGGATGGAGAAGTTTTGGCTCCTCTGAGCTGAGCTGCTTCTGTTTGATCCTTCCTGAAGTGTGGAGCATGAAATGAGGTGCTGGGGGGAAGCTCTGGGGGGGCTGCTTAGCTCCAGCCTGCATCCTCTGTACTTGGATCTGTTCTGTGGCCTCCCTCTCTCACATTGACCTTGAATGTTTTCCACAGCACATGATGCTCTGCAGGTGCTGTAAATTCCTTCTGTTCAGTGATTTCACTCCAGCAAGCTGCTTATCAGGCACTCTTTTGAAAACTGTTCGTATTTCATACACACAATTATCCAGCAGCTATAAAAGGGGGAAAAAATCCTATTTATAGCACAAGGACCAGCATCAAATAGGACACTGAATTCTCACTGATGGAGGAAGTGACCTGTTCTCTAATGCAGCAATATTTCTGCTGAAAAGAAACAGTATCTTGGATGGGAGGGGGAGGGATGCAAAGCCCTGGGCCATCTCTTTCCATTCATAATGTGCTGCAGTCCTAAAAATACAATATCTGCCCTTCTCCCTTCCTGATGAAACCATCTGCCAAAGAGAGATTGCAGAATAACCTTTCACTGTGGGTTTGTGGTTAGGAGTAATGAGCCCACTGACTCCTGGTGGTCTGGTTGGGAGCTGGTTTTAAGTTTCTGATGGATACCTGATCTCTGACCTTGACCTGGGAGTGAGGTGGGGGGTAACTCAGGGGTGTCTGCTGTGGGCAGGTAGCACCAAATCCCTCGGTTGTGCAATCAATCATCCCTGGCCTTTGCCTGCTGCTTGTTCCCTGTTGTCACCCTGTCCTTCCCTTGGTCCCCAGGCTCTTTAGGAAGAGCTGCAGTGGGTGCTACAAAGCGAGGTGGAGGACCAGAGGATGGGATTCCCCCTCCCGTCGCTGTGGCAACCGTTGGGAAGGGGAGGAAGCGGCGGTGGGGGTGCTGGGGATGCTGCGGGGGCAGGGCTGCGCTGACATCACGCCGGGGAGGTGGCGCAGAGGGAAGGGGAGTGGGAAAGGGAGAGCCGGGAGACTGCGGAGGGAAGAGAACTGCAGCGGGAGTGGGCTCCGGGGTGAGGTAAGAGATGCTGCAGCGGGACAGGGTGGGCTGTGGGATCAGAGCTTCGGCATCTTCCTGCCCGATGTGGGACGGTTCTCTGGCAGCAGTGATGCTGCCCCGTGCCCCCCCTGCCTGGCACAGCAGAGCTTGCTTCTTGGACAGTGAGTCTGGGTCAAAGCCCGGCTGGCTGGTGCAGAAGCTGTAAATGCAGCTCACCAGGATGCCAGTGTATGACTGACACTGTGCTGGGAAGAGCCAGGAGCACCTGGGATTCCAGGATGGGCTAAAGGGACT